TTTTAAAGAGAGATTGAGAGATAAATATAGATAGGCCACATTTATCAATGAACTTATGCCAACATGACATATTATGGAACCCATTTTCTCCTCCCATATCTCAATTTACATCAAAATATTTCGTGCATCTGATGAAATGAGTGCAACTCATGCTGATGCCTTTTAATAAAATTTGCTAGTTAGAAAAAGTGCTACCAGATACCCGATTTTATGAAATTTGAGCAATCCATCCTCTGCTTCAAAGGTATTCAGATATTGTACTATATTTTAGAATAAATGAGACTCTGAATGGATATTTACTATTCCACCCACTAGAACTTTTAGAAGCAAGCCAAGCTTCTCCTGTTGTAAATATTTTGAATGTTTGCCATTACTGGAAGAACAAGTTTTGTACTTGTTTAATATTTGCTGACTTTATATACTTTGGTAACTTTTTTGTGATCATTTCATCCCACACTTGAGAAAGCCAGCTGTCATTTAGTTCCATTTTTGGCATCTTATTTTATGACAACCCTGCACCTACCCACATATACCTTTCTTATACATGTGCCTGAACACACAGACTGCGGTGCTTAATTCCCAATCTTGACTTTGTATTATGAAAATTAAATTCTGACACTTGCATTCAATTCCTCTATTTTATCTGTTACTGAAACTCTACACCAGTGTTTTTCAACCTTGGCAATTTGAATATATGTGGACCTCAACTCCCCAAATTCCCCAGCCAGTTAGTAACAGAACTAGATGTTTGAGGTAGACCTTTATTTTAATTTTGCTCTGCTACCGCTCTTCTTTAGCTGTATTATTTATTTGATTTGTATGACTTGCAGATATTTTAAAAATCTAAGACATTGGTTAATTGATTATGTGCCACCAAGTCACTGTCAGCTCCTAATGACCACATAGATTTTTCCATGAAAAATGTTAAAACGCACATTTAAATTAATATTAAAGCTGATTAGCAAAAGTGTGCTGGAAGAGAGGCATCTTTACAAACACTGAAGAAGGGTTTGCGAAATGCATCTTCTATATGAGTAACAGTTTTCTTTAACTCTCTCTTTTTCTTTTTTAGAAGAGAAGTTTTGTCTTTATTGAACAGAGATGCTTGTTAGGTGGCAATAATGGCACATTCTTAAGTAGAATAGTAAATTTATTGCATGGATTATACTGATGATAAAGCAATTTTTAATTAATCATAATGGTTGTGATGGTGTACATAAAAATTGATTTTTGAGATAACGAAGAGTGTAAGATGTATGGTAGTTTCCCCAAAAGTTGGAATTTCATCACATTTTATTCAGTGTTAACGTTAAATGGAGAATTTTGCAGCTTCTGTCCAGAATGGGAAGAATGAATATGACAGAGGTCCCCAACCTTTCTGTGTTGGTGGCCCGGAGAGAAAGGGAGGGGGAGATGCCATTATGTGCTCATGCGCACATGCAAATGGGGCTGCACGAGTAACACTGGTTGTGATGCTAGCACCTGTGTGATCCTGGTAGCGACGCTAGCATGATTAGGGGTTGAATGTGCGCACACACGTGCACACTAGCCAGCCACTCAAGTGGCGTGGTGGCCAATAGGCCACAGCCCAGTAGTGAGCCACAGGTTGGGGACCCCTGGAATATGATACAAGGTCAACAGAAGAAATTATGCCTGGAAAAGTCAAGGATGCTGTTGGAATACTAGTGTGGCATCTGCAGGGGAAGCAAGTTGTGTGACCCATGTCATGATGTCATTGTGTTCCTAAAGATCCCTATATTGATTAATATTCCCTAAGATCAACCCACTCAACAGCTAATGAACAGTAGCAAAATTCTGGAACAGATTAGGTTGCATTATTTTCTATTTTTTTCCCCAAATAGTTATTTCTTTGGCTTCTGCGAGACAAGTTGATGTTGTTGATGGATATTAGCAGGGAGAGAATCTGAGCAATAAAACAGCTATATCTCAGTTCAGATATCATTATTTTCACTAAATTAATTTAAGATGTTTCAGCTGTAAACACAGAATCCAGAGCACCATCAGGTGCAGTCTCAGCTGGTCCTTTGGTCACTCTTTTCTTCCATTATTTCCAAATGTAATCCTCCTGGAGATAAAAAGCCTTGTTTTCTATTTTTATGAAAGCTACATACAAGTAATCAATCACCAAATGTATTTCATCTTGCCTACCATAAATTAAGTTACACTCTTTGCACTGTATAAGGATTTGTCAGGTGTTCCTGAAATAAAAAGACAAATGAATCAGCAGCTTGGTACCATAATCTATTTGTAGATGAAAAATTGGCATTTTGTAAACCATAGTACACTCTGGAGAAATAGCCTTAACATCTGCCTGAAAAGAAAGAAGTTTGACCTTCTTTAAGGTGAATATGGATCACATCTTATAAGATTTCATGATGCTGCTCCAATTTGCCTAAGAATTGTAGTATATTTGAACTGATCCTTCAAAAACTAAGACAGATTTCATTTAGTGACTGCTTCATTTAGTGATCATTTGCAGTTACAAAAGTGATGAAAAAATAACTTCATAACCAGTCCTAGATCTACAACCTTCGCAGGTTCATAAAGCAAAAGAAAGCTGAAGTAGGACTATAAAGTACAGTTGCGGCTTCATTTAGTGACCGCTTTGCTTAACAACTGAGTCTTTGATCCCAGTTGTGGTGGCTAAACTAGGACTACCATGCCATGGCAACATTCAGGTTATATATTTTTCCCATAGTAGAATATGCTGTTTTGGAATCAGTGTGACATAATTGTTAATGTAACAGTGATGTGGTAAGATGAGACATGATATTCAGCCTTGGAAACTCAATGGATAATTGAGCCAGCCAGTCTCTCTTTGCCTAGCCTTCATCATTAGGTTATTATTATGAGTTGTTACTATGTATATATGGTACCACCTCAAGGTCTAGGCTAGGGAGAAAGGTGGGACATAAATTTAATTATGATTTCTTCCTTGAACTTCCAATTCCTTATTATACAAACTGTTTTCAAAGAGGTAAAAATAATTTTCCTTTGTCTTGGTAACATCACAGCATCACCAAATGTCCTTGACAAACCTATGGAAGGCTGATTGTGGTCCCCAGCTAACCGATAACAATATACATAAAAATGTGAATACACAGCTGCCAATTCTTTAGCTGATGTTGGCCTTCATATGCAGGTATTTGGTAGTGACTTGTCACGTGCAAGAAACCAGAAGCCAGGATCGAGTTCAAAAGCATTGTGAGTTTATTCCATGCACAAGAATTTGATCTTCTAATGGTCAAGGCACGTTGATGTGAGAATGGACTTCAAGGGGGACTTAGGTCTCTTTCGGAGGTGTAGAGACTCCAGACTGATGATGCATTTGACCCTGCCCTCAGGCTCAGCCTAGTTTTCTCCTACAGATCTTCTTCATCCAGGCTCAGCCTAGTTTTCTCCTACAGATCTTCTTCATCCAGACTCTTTATTATTATTATTTTTGGTTGCACAGTCAGCCACATGTTCAGACTGGATTTGGCATTTTTATCCACCTATCTTGGGCAAATGGTACTTGATGATGTTAAAGCTATCATCGCAGGATGTAAGCTGTTTCACATCAGGCTGCCTTTTGCAATAGTCTGATAGTGATTTTGTCAGTGCCAATTATGTTCAAGTATTTATTGTAATAAAATAAATAGTATCTGTATTATAATATTTAACATATCAATACAATATAACATATAATATTCATATAGTATTTATTATTATATATTTACTCCAATATCTAGTGTAGTCCATGCAATAACAAATTTGGTATGGTTTATGTAAATTACGTCTCAACATATTGTTTATGGGAGAGGCATTCTTCATGGGGCTCCTTTTCAGATATCTAGGAAGTACTTTAGCACTCCAAGGGCTCCACTCGTGACTGCTATAACAACAGATTTAGTCTACCTCTTCAGTTGAGACCTGTCTGATATAGTTGCACCTGTTCAGCATAGCGCTTTGCATCACAAGGGCACATAGACCTCTCAACCATGATAAAATGTTGTTCCTTCGGTGGAACAAACTTTCCTATAATAATATTATTATTAAATTAATGCAACTACCTTACATCCCTCTAAAGCAATTACTCCCACCCATTTTCTTGTTCATATTCCTAAATGTTTTTTTCAGTATTAAAAAGAGGATTTTAAAAAGTGGTGTAGACAAACTTACAGAAAAATTCCATGCAGTTACATAGCTGGTTTCCTCTGTATGCTCATTTCCCTAGCAGACACCATTCAGCCTGAGGAGCACTGATTGCTGAAATGTTTGATCACAAAGGTCAACTTTTAAGAATTATTTTTTTAACAGGAATGATATAAATAATATAATATAAAACAATATAACTACGTTATGTGTGTGTTTAATGCGAAAGTCAAAAAATTACATTTTTTCTCTTACAAGATATAATCTCTCTATGTTTGTTTCCATGTTGTATTCAATCTTCCTGAAGTCTCTTTGTATTGCCTTTTTACATATATTTCTGGTGTTGGTGTGCTGATTAAAGGGAAACATAGAAAAACATGATCCAAGTTTTTGCTTGCAGTGTACAAAGAGGAGTCCCCTTCCTCCCACCCACCTACCCACCCCCGGTTTTCTACTGGCATTAAAACATAAAGTGCGATTATAATAGTAATATTGTGGAAACCTTCAAAGCAGAAAGATACATCAATATGCACTGCTGTGTGCACGTAAAATCTGTCTGCAACTCTTAAACCAAAAGTACCTTTTGCTAGAACCAGGCAGCAACTGTGGCTAGCAATTGTACAGTGCCAGAAAAAGATGCAGCTGTGTGAAGAAATTGCAGAGCCTTGCATGTATGCTTATGATGGTATGAGAGAGGGGGAAAAAAATATAAGGGCAGTTTCTTAGGAGCTTGATTAGATCCTTTCCTAAGTACATCTCAAAAGATATTGAATGGATTTTTCTTGGAACTTTACAGAGATATTAATAATGCATGAAGGTATCTAATTCTGCAAATCTTTATGTAGATTGAAGAGGACACTGTAGCTCTTCTGGATCACAGTGACAGTGATGAGGAATTTGATCCAAGTACACTTCCAGATCCAGATGGCCCCAAAGATGAGGAACAAGAAATTCTTCCAAAAAACCACAGGTATTTTGTTGCATTGACCTTTTAATTTACTTTCCTTCTTTGTTTTTCTTCTTCTTCTTCTCTAGCTTACCAGATTCTAAGCAATCAATCAAACTTAACTTCATTCTGCTGCAGTTAGATCAGCTAATTAGCTTAGACTATTCATCTATGGCAGTGTTTCTCAAACTTGACAATTTTAAGGCATGTGGACTTCAACTCCCAGAATTCCACAGCCAGCAATGCTGGCTGTGGAATTCTGGGAGTTGAAGTCCACATGCTGGCTGTGGAATTCTGGGAGTTGAAGTCCACATGCTGGCTGTGGAATTCTGGGAGTTGAAGTCCACATGCTGGCTGTGGAATTCTGGGAGTTGAAGTCCACATGCCTTAAAATTGTCAAGGTTGAGAAACACTGATCTATGGACAAGAGAATGCAGAACAGCCCTGGCTGCTAATTTAAATTTATGGCTTGATTATGGCTTGATGTTTGTGATAAGATGGATTCTGCACATAAGCTGTATGTACTTTGGCTCCCCCATGATTATGACTGTTGGACACAAAAGATGCAGGAGAACAACTGTCAGGGCCTCCAAAGTTTTTTCACCTGGCTGTCTGCCTTCTCCACTTCAAGAGAATCTGAGTGAATAGGAGGGTGGCAGTGCTGCCACTGCTAACTGAGACCATGGCTGGTCATACAGATAGTGGAGACAGTTGTTAATTGAGTTCTGCCTCATTTTACAACCTTTCTTGCCACAAATGAATCACTTTAGTTGTTAAATTAATAACATGTTTGTTAATCTGGTTTCCCCGTTGCCTTTGCTGGTCAGAAAGTTACAAAAAGGGATCACGTGACCCAGGGCATTGCAATTGTCATAAAAATGAGTCAGTTGCCAAGTGTCTTCAGTTTTGATCACATGACCATGGGGATGCTGCAATGATTATAAGTGTGAAACATGATCATAAGTCATTTTTTTCAGTGCCGTTGCAACTTCAAATAATCACTAAACAACTGTTGTAAGTGAAGAAGCACCTGCACAGCAGCAGTGGAGGAAAAAGTATAGCCAGAGCAGGATAACATCCCCTTCCCTTCTGCTTCTCTTCTTCTGTTGTGTCTTGTTTTGGGACCCCTGGAAATATGTGTCAAGAAAAATCCCAGAACTTCCTGTGTGGATTTTAAAAAGCACGAGAGTGGACAGAATTCAAGTCTCATTCCTCGTTTTCATGCAATGCATATCCAAGCCTTTATAAAAAAGACTTGTGAAGGAGTCATAGTTTCCATCTTTTTCATTGCCCCACAGATGCCCCCGTGCCTTACAGGGTGGCCGAACGTGTCCACTCACCCAATTTGTTGGCACTTGTTTTTAATATAGTGAAGTAAGTTAAATGTATGTTTTTTTTAAAAAAAATATTTAATTACTTCTTTAGTTTAGTTTATACGCAGTTAACAAGATAATCTTTAATATTAGTGAAAAAAATAAAATTAAAATACAAACCAAGAAAAAACAGAAATGATCTTTTTTTCTTTATAATGTATGTAATGAAAAGAAGAAAATACAACTTTGTACTAATGATGTTGGGAAAAGGTTGATGCTTTGTCTTGGTTATAGAAAGCTTTAGAACAGGTGGCAGTTTTTTCCTTATCTCATCCCTTAAGGGATGAAAGGTATGTGTAATCCACTATTTTATATCTGCTGTTTAACAAATCACCTTTAAGTCACATCCCTCCACAAGCTTAGTGAAATGAATTTTTCAGATATCTGGTGTCATTCATTGTATTGCTTGTTTAAGGCAATCATAATGTTAAATAAGAAGGTGGGAGGAGGCACAGGGGACAGTAGCAGCAGAGCTAAATATTCATCAGGCAAGTTAAATTGAATTTTTAATATCTCTAGTACTTCAACGCTCTTGAAAAGGAATGTCAATTTGGAACAAAGCTCTGATCAGTCTTTTCATTACTTCAATTAATTTTTTACATACTTGGCTGTTCTTCTTAGTTTTCACTTCTAAATGGAATATGCAGTTCAGCTGTTTCAAGATGACTTTTTTCAGGCTGAATTCCTAACCATAACTTTTGCTAAGTAGATATTTTTTAATTATAGGCAGTAATTGAATTTATCGTTTAATGGATATTTGGAGAAAACATTGTGATTTGAAGGTTGATGTTAACAATTTGATTGATGAAATGGTTTAAAAATGCCTTTAGTCTCTCGTTTAAGATGAGCCATATTTGATATTCCAAGGCTCATACAGCTTGTAAGCATTTTATCCTCATTGTATAGTTAACCGTAGTGTACCTACAGTTAAAGAGAGAAAAATTAAGACAGAATTTTAGCCAGCCAGATATTCAATTTGCTGTACAACTTGCAGTGGGATTCAAGGTAGCATTCAAGGTAGACAAAAACTACAGCTGCATCATGTCCAAGACTATTTACATATCTGCACAGTTAAAACTCTTTAAAATTGCCTTACCTAACGTCTAAGAGAAAAAACAGCTCACTGGCAGAATCAAGACAATCCATATCTTGTGGGATATTTAGTTTTATGGGGAAGGGCATCGACATAGAAGGCATGTTTCCTGAGTGCTAAGATTACATTGTTTAATATAAGTGACCTAGAACATGTCCACTCTATTCTATCTTGGAGAGAGATGGTCTCACAAACAATCCAGATTTCTGCATGGAGGTCAAGGTTCACTCAGAACCAATTGCCCGTGCCATTGCATTCTGGATCAGTTATAAGTTCTGAGAACTTTTCAAGGCAGTTCTGAGAACTATTCAAAACTAATTATGGGAAACCCTCTTATCTACCCCTCCATTCTCCGGACACTGAGAAAAAACTTGATGGCATCACTTGGTCATCCAAGAATAGAGATGTATAACTGGATATTATCAGTGTAGTGATGATATTTAACCCTAAGCCAAAAAATAAACTTTGACCAGTGACTTTGTGTAGATGTTAAATGGGAATGAAGTGAATGTTGAGCCCAGAACCACCACACAAAACTGAGAGCTATGATTAGACCTATCTCCCCCTCTGAGTGGTCTAGAACAGTGGTTCTCAACCTGTGGGTCGGGACCCCATTTGGGGTCGAATGACCATTTCACGGGGGTCGCCAAACCACGCTGTCCGCCATTTTTTCCCCTTTTCCCTAGCTGTCCTACTCCCTCTTATTGGTGGCCACACCCACTTGGGGGTCACCACAACATGGGGAACTGTATTATGGGGTCACGGCATTAGAAAGGTTGAGAACCACTGGTCTAGAAGGATATCACAATCAAAATTATTTTATCAAGCTGATGTATTAATTGCTCTGGTTCTCTTAGATGCAGATTACTAGCCCAACAGACAACAGATCTAACACCTCCACACACAGCCCCGAACTAGAATAAAAAATTATTTTTATGTTCAACTAATTACTCCACCCTTCAGTCCAAACCTGGTCACTTTCAGATGCAGTAAGAGCCCAGCTTCACAATGCCTAAACAATATATGTTGCATCTCATGGGCCATTATAAAAGAGTTGTAATCTAAGTCATTTGGACGACACCTGGTTGGGAAAGGCAAAGGCATTCTTTTCTTTGTGTACCAGCTCTATTTAGTTTCAACTCTGGCTGTTGATGTTGACCTAATGTTTTTTCTTGATGGATTCCTAGGTTAATCTGTTTTTAAATCCTTGAATTATTATTATTTTTTAAAGTAATGTTCTGTATTTGCACAGAGGCTAGTATATGAGGATAAATAGGTACTGTTAAACCATAAACCTTAATATATCTAATTAAAAGAGCCGTAGTGGCGCAATGGTTAGAATGCAGTATTGCCGGCTAATTCTGCCAACTGCTAGCAGTTCGCTGCCTCAAGGTGGACTCAGCCTTCCATTCTTCCAAAGTCCATAAAATGAGGACCCAGATTGTTAGGGGCAATCTTAAAGAGGGCTGTAAAACACTGTGAAGAGGTACATAAGTCTTAAGTGCTATTGCTGTTGCTATCTTTAATTAACTTGGGAAAAAAACATACTGAATGCAAAATGAGTCCTTTGTTTGGACATAGTATTTCAGGTTCATTTAGAGCTCTAGGTGCTTCTTAAGATCTTTGGAAGGATGTTTAACTCAGAAATATACATTCTCCTAAAACAAACAAAACAATCACCTTAAGCTATCTAGTTTTGCAATCTAAATTTAATATTATCAAACACTAGAAAGGCATAAAGATGGCATCGAGTTTATCTGAAAGTCTTTTTTCTGAAAGGCTTGATCTTCACGAGATGTCATATTTCTGCTGTTGACCTTAGTATTTTGTTTTAACGGGGTTAGTTGCTCTTTTAAGCCAGCTTGATCCCTTGATATATATAACATATGTTAAATATGTTTTAAATCAGTCATTGTTTTGGGGCTTTGTAGCAGAAAAAAACAGAACAGCGTGTGATAGCAAAGAGGGAAAGAAAAGGAAAAAAATACAAATAGCTAGCAGTGGTTTAAAGGCTGAGCAGTATCAGCTGTTAAAGGACATTTTAATTTCATTTGCCATAAAGGAGGGAGGGTGTGCATTGTGTAGAAGTGAATGATGACAATGAAGACAGCAGCAGCAGTTCCAATAGACCAAAGAAAGAAAGATGAAGTTGAGTGCCTGAAGCAATGAAAAGATAATGCTTTGCTGACCAAGGCTAGGATTAGACAGTTGCTGCATTATGAATGTAGGCTGTTGCTTTGGTTTAGTTGAGTATCTTCACTTTTAACCACAAACAAAAGTGTTGGGCTGCCTCCTTTTCAAACATCACTCTGTACCATATGTGATGTAGTTGATTTAAAAGAGGTTTTTTAAAAATAATGATTATTTTTGTTAAAGAGAAATAAATAAATCAGAATATACAAAAATACAGAGTAGCCACATTAAAACTCTAATTATAAGCAGCTCTAACTATAAAGGAGTTAGTGGAATACCAAACAAGTAACCATTTTACATGAAAAAAAGAATAGATAAACTAAATTCTGTAAAATGGGTTAATAATTATAATTAATTAAACCAAGTAAAAATAAGCAATGCATAACATGTAAAAGACAAAAAGGCCTATCCACAAGGCACACATCCCTGATCAGAACAGTACCCCTATTCCTTAGTATCAAACTTTTTTTTTTTAAAGATACCGGTAGCATGTAATTGGGATGGGAATGAAACCTACCAAAACTTTACAGTGACCTGAAGTATACATAGTTCTATAGAGACAAGAATACAATTGAATTAGAACAGAATTTATTTGTTTTATGGCCATTTAATGATGCCTCTATATGTGTGAGTGTGTATGTGAGTGTGTGTGATTGAGGGGGTGGGGGTAAAGAGTTTTTTCCCCCCTTGGTCAGTTTAAGATAGCTTTGTCCATGTTTTGCTTGATTTTAGTTCTTAAGGCATTTGGCTTCATGCTTGTAGAAATCTGAGTGGAGAACATTTTCAGAGCACAAATTGCTGAAAAAGAGACTAGCACATCATATAATATATTTTCATTATTCCCACTGCGTGCAGTCAGTGTTCTGACACTAAGTGAGGAGGAAGTCGTTCTGAGGCTCCACAGAAGCGGTCTGTATTAATTAGTCTAATTAATTAGAAATCTTTCTTTAGCCTTGGAAATTAAAATGTGGTTTGCCCTCCAGAGTCTTCGATTAACAAAGTAGCAATTCTCAAGAGGCTGTGTGTAAATTTTGCATTATGTTGGCAGACCAGCAGCCTTAAGAAATCAGTATTTAAACTGCATGAAGTTAGATAACTGCATAGAAAAGTGCATTAGCTGGTCTTAAATTAAGTGAGAGCAACAGGATTAACTAAGTGACATTTATTTCTACCCTCCCCACAAAATGCAGAAATGTGTGTCTGTTGGAGAGATGTACCATCCGTCATATAGGTCCTTTTATTTCCGTGTAGGGAATTAGAGCTAAAAGAGGCCATTTAAGGCTATCAAGTCCAATCCTTTTCTCAGTGTAGGAATCAGATCAAAGCAACCTAAATAGATGGGTGTCTATTTCAACACATCCAGTGAAGGGGATCCTTTCAGTTTTCTGGCTAATTGGTTCTATTGTAAAACTGCTCTTACTGTTAAGATTATGATGATGTTTCCTTTCTGATGGAGTCTACTTTCCAGTAACTTAGCTGCATTGTTCTGTATCCTATACTCTGGAATGAGAGACAACAGCTCTCAACCTTCTTTTAAGTGATATATTTTCCATTATTTAAAATATGCTATTCATTCGTAAAGTAACACACTTAAAGTATACTATTAATTTTTTGCTCTTGCTAGTCATTTTCTTTAACTGATCTATCTTACAAAATACTCGTACAGATAATGATTATTAAAGGAAGCGTGCTACTTTAAGAAGGTAAAATATAAATCTAAATGTACTGCATGTTATTTAGGTGATCATTCTATGACTGGAACCTTCCTTGGTCAAAAAAAATCATTTTTTTTTTAATGTGGGGCTCCTGTTATCTCTTGTAAGCCTCTCTAGTACAGAAAGTCCTTGACTTACAACAGTTCATTTAGTGACTGTTCAAAGTTACAGCAGCATTGAAAAAAGTGTTTTATGATTGTTTTTCACATTTAAAACCATTGCAGCATCCTCATGGTCACATGATCAAAATTCAGATGCTTGGCAACTGACTCATATTTATGACCGTTGCAGTGTCGTGGGGCCGTGAGATCACCTTTTGTAACCTTCTGACAAGCAAAGCTAATGGGGAAGCTTAACGACTGTATTATTAATTTAACAACTGCAGTGATTCACTTAACAACTGTTGCAAGAAAGGTTATAAAATGGGGCAAAATTCACTTTATAACTGTTTTGCTTAACAGAAATTTTTGGGCTCAATACACTTTTGCCCCCCCCCCCCGGCATAAGCACATATTCTGCCCACCCCCAACTGATGTTCAGTTCTTCCTTCCATTTTTTTCTTGTGCCAAACATGGTCTCTTTCTCAGTTCCTTTAAGTGGGAATAATCAAAACACAGACTAGTCTCTTAAGTACATATTTAATTTTTTTTTTTTTTTTTAGAAAATGACTTTGGATTGGTCATCCTCACAAAAACAGTTCTCAAAAGCCTAAATGCATTCTGATGGCATTGATTGCCCAAGAGATTTCAGAGAAAGAGTGATACATATATGTGATTGCTCATTTTAAAGATACTCAGGCATTGGCTTTTAAATGCGACCTAGTTCATATACTGAATTTGTTATGCTTTCTTATTAGTGTTTTAATCACTAATCTTATTATGAACAGATGCCATATTTGCAATTTCAATCAACTGAAATTCTCCTTGGTTTAAAATCCATTCATGTGATAGAAATAATTGGTTGAATTGCAAATTGGATAGGAAATTTATTTTAACTAACCTGATTTAAGTATCTTATAGATGTGTGTGTGTACATGTATTCACACATATACATATATTATTCATCCATCCATTTGTGGAGGGAGGAGTTGCTTCAAAAATATTTTTGCATTACATTAAAATCCAGAGCAAACTTTGTTCTAAATCTGTAGTTTCCAATGGTATGTGATATCTTTTTTGTTAGAAATCAGGACAATAAATTTAAAGTTTAATTCAGCCTGATGATGGTGATGATGATGATGATGATATTATCCATTCAGTCTTGTCCGACTCTTGGTGATTTTATGTGCCAGGGCTCTCCACATCTTTTGATCTTGCACTAAAGTTCAGATTAGTGCTGATTAAACTGAATATGGCCAGACTGAACAAGCTGCCCAAGATCACTAAATAAAATTCACTGGCCCAAAACTTTTTGTACTTGGTGCCCTCTGGCTGCTTTGGATTACAATATTCTGTCACTCCAGACTGTTGGCAAGTAGGTGCGATGGGCGTTGACATCCAAGCAATGGAGAGAAGTTGTTTCAGCCTGGGTAACACATAAGAAAACAAAACTCAAAGCTAGCAAAGACAAACATTCTATTTATATATTATTCTATGCAGACTTTGCTTGCTTGTTTATTTATCAACACATTTAAAGAACTTATAAGCCATTCAACGTATGGTTGAGAAAGTCAAATTCATATTTTGTATAAAGAACATATAGTGGCCATAAACATTTTATTTTAAATTAATGTACAAATAGCAGATTTTGCCCATTAAAAGCTGATGCTGTTTCTGCCTGTGCAACAGTAGACATTTGTTAAAAGGTGGGGTAGAAGGGAAGAGAGACACCTTTTGAAAAACAGGGAGAGAGCGAGCCATTGTCGCAGCATGTTAAGCAGTCCCAAGCCAGAATTTCCATCCTAAAGTCTAAGCGGAACATTTTCAGTCCACCATTGAATGATACTAGTTTGAAATGATGGAAAATTCCTAGCTCTTCTCTTGGTATAAACTAGTCATCTTTAGAGGCAGAAGGTCCTGTTTATATGGTCTGCTTATTGGTCACCAACACGCTGGACCAAATGTGTCTTTAGTCTGATCTAGGAGGGTTGATCTACTCTTGTGTTTCTCAACTTCAGCAACTGTAAGTAGTGTGGAGTTCAACTCCCAGAATTCCCAAGCCAGGGAATGGATCTATACTATATGAGTATAATTGTTAGAAGAGATTAAATGGGTAAATATATGATGGCATTTCCCATTATGTAAATCACACAATTTCTATGCAGTATATGTGTTTGTGTTGATTGTCATCAATCAATAATTATGGATATTGAACTCACCAGGGATGCTTGATAAATGACACATTTTCCTGGGTCAGTTCATTTTCTCCCTATTTTATTTCTAAGCATATATTTGCTATTTTAAAACCTTATTACAGCAGCCTGAGACCATTTCTTAATTTAGGTTTGAATCCTCCAAACTTAATTTCTCTTTGCACATCATTACCATGTTTGCCTCTAATTTGTAATTAAACATTTTCTCATTTAAATCCAGTTACTTTCTTATATAATTTTGATTGGCTTAAATGGCAACAGTAAAAGAATGATTTATTTTTACAGCAAACGTGGAATGGATAAGCAGCAGTTGGATGGAAGCAAATCAGAAGGGGAAACAACACAAAAGAGGAAGAAGATGAAAACTAACCAAGAGGACTCTTTTCTACCATTAGATACAGGTCTTTCCCTTGCAGAAGATGAAGCATTAGTAGTACAGTTGCTCAACAATTAAACCTCTTTTTTTCCTCTTGGAAATATTATTCAGGTTATTTTTGTCTTTATTTCACAAAGACACAGGACAGATGAATGCCCCAAAATATTCATGTGTTAACATCTGAAAGTACAGATTCTCTAATGAGTACCTCATGAGTAATTTGGTTCATAGGTGTACTCTCTTACGAAAGTTGTAAATGTTTTTATCTGTCAGATTTTCCAATAGTTATTTTTTCTAAGATGCCAGGAATTTTTAAGTGTGTGTGTGTGTGTGTGTGTGTGTGTGTGTGTGTGTGTGTATATTAATATATACACACACACACACACACACATATATATATATTAATCCTTTGTATAGAAAGCTTTAACCCAGAAGGACAAATCCGTTCCATCTTGGGATAAGTTTTATAAGATAAAAAGACCAAAATTGAATGGATATCCATAAAATATTTTAAATATTATTTATGTCCAAAACAAAATGAGAAAAGATTTGACTTCAATTTTCTTAAAGCATTTACTTGATATTATCAAGGTTGATATAAATTCTCCTTGCTTTTGCTTCTATCAACTAACAATAAATCAATATGCTAATAATTCTATATATCATTTCTTCTTATGGGGTATTTCCAGATTTTAATAATAATAATAATAATAATAATAATAATAATAATAATAATAATACCTAATCAAGAAATACCACTTAGAAACAAGGAAGATCAAGGAAGCACTGGAAATAATAAAGCAACAAATAACAGCTATAGCCAGGAAAATCAGTAGATATGAAGCTCGAATTGCAAACTATAGGCAGAACCTCCAATTTCAATCCAATCAGAAACGTTTCTACCAATCCATCAATGGAGAAACTGCAAGGAATCAGTCAGTACCTGACAAGGAAGAAACAGTGCAGTTCTGGAAGCAGATATGGGATAACCCAAAGAAATACAACAAGGATGCAGCTTGGTTAAAAGAGGTGGATGCAAATAAAACAGAAGTTGAAATGAAAGAACTAGTAATAACAACAAAAATGGTAGAAAAAAGAGCAAAGAAAATCAAAAATTGGTCAGCACCAGGTGAAGATGAACTGCATGGGTTTTGGTTGAAACATCTAACTGTTATACACCCACTCATTGCCAAGCAGTTCAACAATATACTACAAGGAGGAGAAATTGAAAAGTGGCTAACAACTGGGAAAACCTACCTAATAATGAAAAATCCAGCAAAAGGGGCAACACCAGGTAACTACAGGCCAATTACCTGCTTACCAACAACTTTCAAATTACTAACTGGTGTGGTAGCTGATGCAGTACAACAGCATCTAGTTGAAAACAATCTCTTTCCACCTGAGCAGAAAGGAAACCGCCCCAATAGCAGAGGAACAAAAGATCAACTCCTAATAGACAAAATGATCTTGGAAAACTGCAAGAGAAGGAAGACCAACCTGAATGTGGCATGGATTGACTACAAAAAGGCATTTGACTCTCTGCCACATGACTGGATAATCAAGTGCCTAGAAATAACAGGAGTAAGTAGAAACATCAGAAAATTTGTGCAAAGATCGATGGCACAATGGAAGACACAGTTGCAGATCAATGGTGAGAAGCTGGGAGAGGTTAATATCAAGAGAGGAATATTTCAAGGAGATTCATTATCACCATTACTATTTGTTATTGCACTGTTTCCTCTGTCAACAATACTGAATAACTCAGGACATGGCTATCAAACATCAAAAACATCTGCCAGACTATCCCACCTCCTTTACATGGATGATCTGAAGCTGTATGGAAAAACATCATCTGAAATAGAATCGCTGCTCAACACTGTCCGTATATATAGCCAAGATATTGTAATGGAGTTTGGCTTGGACAAATGTGCCACACTTACTATCAAACAAGGAAAAATAGTGAAAACTGAAGGAATCAAGATGCCCCATGAAAATAACATTAAGAGTCTGGATGAGGAAGAATACTACAAATACTTGGGTATCCTTCAAGCTGACAACATCAAGCACACTGAAGTCAAGAAAAAGATTAGAGGTGAATACATCAAGAGAGTGAAGAAGATCTTAAAATCCAAACTCAATGGAGGAAATACCATAAAGGCAATCAACACTTGGGCAATCCCAGTCATTAGGTACACAGCTGGAATAGTGGACTGGACTCAAGCAGAACTAAAAGCAATGGATAGGCAGACCAGAAAAATAATGACAATGAATCACGCCCTTCATCCACGCAGTGACATTGATAGACTTTATCTACCAAGGCAAATAGGTGGGCGTGGAATGCTACAAGTACATCAGATGGTTGAAGAAGAAAAAATGACTTTGGAAGAATATCTGAAGAACAATGATGAAGATGCACTGAAATTAGTATATCAGGAAGGCTTACTAACTACTGGAGAGACCAAACTGGCCTACAAGAAAGACCAAATGAAGAACAGAATAGAGGCATGGGAAGACAAAGCACTACATGGCCAATACATGAAAAAAATAGCTGGGAAAGCAGATAATAACAAGAACCTGGCAATGGCTAAGAGCAGGAAAATTGAAGAAAGAGACCGAGGGACTAATTCTGGCTGCACAAGACCAAGCCTTAAGGACAAATGCATACAAAGTCAAAATTGAGAAGACAGCAACAGACAGTAAGTGCCGCCTATGCAAAGAAGCTGAAGAAACAGTGGACCACTTGGTAAGCTGTTGCAAGAAGATTGCACAAACTGATTACAAGCAGCGGCATGACAAAGTAGCAACAATGGTGCATTGGAAGATCTGCAAAAAATATCATTTGCCTGTAAGCAAAAACTGGTGGGATCATAAAATAGAGAAAGTCATAGAAAATGATAAAATTAAACTGCTCTGGGACTTCAGAATTCAAACAGACAAGCACCTAACACCCCAGACTTAACAATTGTCGATAAGAAAGACAAAAAAGTCTGGATAGTGGATGTGGCAGTGCCTGGAGATAGCAGAATAGAAGAGAAAGAACTGGAGAAGATAACAAAATACAAAGACCTACAAATAGAAATAGAAAGACTGTGGCAAAAGCAAGCAAGGGTAGTACCAATAGTCATAGGCTCCTTGGGTGCAATCCCAAAACAACTGGAGCACCACTTGAACACCATTGGCATTGACAAATTCGCTATTAGTCAATTGCAAAAGGCGGCCTTATTAGGAACTGCTTCCATCCTGCGACGATACCTGTAATACCATCAAACATCCACATCTGCCTATCCCAGGTCCTGGGTAAGGACTCGATAGGTAGACAAAATGCCAAATCCAGTCTGAACATCTGGCTGACTGTGCGATGATGATATAATAATAATATATAATAATAATAATAATAATAATAATAATAATAATAATAATAAATTAAACTGCTCTGGGACTTCAGAATTCAAACAGACAAGCACCTGCAACATAACACCCCAGACTTAACAATTGTCGATAAGAAAGACAAAAAAGTCTGGATAGTGGACGTGCAGTGCCTGGAGACAGCAGAATAGAAGAGAAAGAGACTGGAGAAGATAACAAAATACAAAGACCTACAAATAGAAATAGAAAGACTGTGGCAAAAGCAAGCAAGGGTAGTACCAATAGTCATAGGCTCCTTGGGTGCAATCCCAAAACAACTGGAGCACCACTTGAACACCATTGGCATTGACAAATTCGCTATTAGTCAATTGCAAAAGGCGGCCTTATTAGGAACTGCTTCCATCCTGCGACGATATCTGTAATACCATCAAACATCCACATCTGCCTATCCCAGGTCCTGGGTAAGGACTCGATAGGTAGACAAAATGCCAAATCCAGTCTGAACATCTGGCTGACTGTGCGATGATTAATGATAATAATAATAATAGTAAAGTTGGAAGGGACCTTGGAGGTCATCTAGTCCAACCCCCTGCTCGGGCAGGAAACCCTACACCATTTCGGACAAATGGCTGTCCAGTCTCTTCTTAAAAACTTCCAGTGTTGGAGCATTTACTGCTTCTGGAGGCAAGCTGTTCCACTGATTAATTGTTCTCACTGTCAGGAAGTTTCTCCTTAGTTCTAGGTTGCTTCTCTCCTTGATTAGTTTCCACCCGTTGCTTCTTGTCCTGCCTTCAGGTGCTTTGGAAAATAGCTTAATTCCCTCTTCTTTATGGCAGCCCCTGAGATATTGGAATACTGCTATCATGTCCCCCCTTGTCCTTCTCTTCGTTAAACTAGACATACCCAATTCTCGCAACCGTTCCTTATATGTTTTAGCCTCCAGTCCCCTAATCATCTTTGTTGCTCTTCTCTGTACTCTTTCTAGAGTCTCAACATCTTTTTTACATCGTGGTGACCAAAACTGGATGCAGTATTCCAAGTGTGGCCTTACCAAGGCATTGAAGAGTGGTATTAATACTTCGCGTGATCTTGATTCTATCCCTCTGTTAATGCAGCCTAGTACTGTGTTGGCCTTTTTGGCAGCTGCCGCACACTGCTGGCTCATATTTAACTGATTGTCTACTAGGACTCCGAGGTCCCTCTCACAGTTACTACTATTGAGCATGGTGCCACCTATGCTGTACTTGTGCATTTGGTTTTTCTTGCCTAAATGTAGAACCTTGCTTTTTTCACCATTGAATTTCATTTTGTTAGTTAGTGCCCAGTGTTCAAGTCTGTCCAGATCCTTCTGTACCTGAAGCCTGTCTTCTGGAGTGTTGGCTATTCCTGCCAGCTTGGTGTCATCTGCAAATTTGATGAGTTCCCCATCTATCCCTTCATCCAAATCGTTGATGAAGATGTTGAAGAGTACTGGGCCCAGAACAGAGCCCTGGGGCACCCCACTACACACTTCCCTCCATATAGATGCAGTTCCATTGAGGACCACTCGCTGAGTACGGCCGGTCAGCCAGCTACGGATCCATCTGGTGGTGGTTCTGTCTACCCACATTTTTCTATCTTGTCAAGTAGTAGGTTGTGATCTACTTTATCAAATGCCTTACTGAAGTCCAAGTAAATTATGTCCACAGCATTCCTCTGATCCACTAATTTTGTCACTTGGTCAAAGAATGCAATAAGATTTATCTG